AAGTTCAGAGCTGAGAGTCAATCCAGGCTGGTTGGCTGGCTCCAGACTCAGCATCCTCAATCACCATGCTCCGACCCCTTGGGAAGCTTGGAGATAGATGCACACCCTCCGGTCAGAACAGTCGCTCCCCGCGCCCCCCGTCCCGCCCCGGGAACTTGCTCTGCAGACACGAGGGTGTGCTCCCACTAAGAGGAGTTACTGTATGGAACAGGGAACAGAGCCGTATCATAAAACAGTTGTTCAGAAACCTTAATGCTTGCAATTGGTACCTGGATGCTGAAGGAGGGTAGAATAGATCACGGTGAGTTTGAGGAAGTGAGTGTGAGGGGCAGGTGCTGCCCGAGAGGGACTCCTGGCTGAGTCTCCAAGGCCTGGGGAGACTGATGCACAAGGAGCTGAGCTCCCCGGGGGCCACCTTCCCCGCCTTCCCTCCTGCAGCTCTCCATCACTGCAGACTCCTAAATCTAACTGGGCCCTAGTTGCCTTCCATGAGACATTCATTAGACACATGACATAGTTTTCACTGTAGTGGGTTTGCAAGGATGAATGTGACTGAGTCCCTACCTTAGGCTTTGTCCAGAAAGCCTCACATGACTTCAGAAGCCTCTCCACCCCGCCAAACTCCCCACCTGCCTGTGATGCTTGCAATTATTTTAAGAGCTGTGAGAACAGTTAATTTCACAGTTAAGAAGCTGAAAACGGCAGTGTCTGGTTTGGGGGTTCCTGTCAGTGTGAACGAGTTTATCATCAAGAGCTTTGGGTTGGTTGGGCAACCAGTGTAAATGGCCACTGTCAGATCCTTCCCTTTCATTAGGTGCCGGGGGTGGGGATGGGGAGGGGGACACCAAGGCCTGAGGTGGGAGGAAGGATACAAGAGGAGATGGAGAGGGACAGATGTTGCCCAAGTGATGTCAGCCTCCTTATCTTATTGTCCAGACTGGAAACGACTTGAGATTTTTGCCCAGAATGAGGTGAAAGTGGAAGTGAGTCACTCAGTCGTGTCCGACTCCAGGCCAGAATACTGGAGTGGGTAGCCTTTCCCTTCTCCAGGGGATCTTCCCAACCCAGGGATCGAACCTAGGTCTCCTGCGTTGGTTGCAGCTGGATTCTTTACCAGCTGAGCCACAAGGGAAGCCCAGGAATACTGGAGTGGGTAGCCTACCCCTCCAGGGAATCTACCCGACCCAGGAATTGAACTGGGGTCTCCTGCACTGCAAGCGATTCTTTACCAACTGAGCTGTCAGGGAGCAGAAGGAGGTGAGCCCTGATTATTTTCACTTGGGCGGGGAGAAATAGAAACTGTGTGTGAGATGTTTGATGGTGAAGCCGTAAAAACATGTACTGGAGATTTCCTATACGTTTTTTAAAGCCACACTGTCTTCGTATAAAGGAACGTTTTCTCATTTTGCTTGTTAGACAGGCAACACAGCTCAGACTAAAGTCCCGAGGGTCGCGCGCATCAGAGGCCCTCACTGAACGTGAGGATTCCCTTCTCCTCACTTCCCCTCATTTGTACCTTTGTGGGACTACTATTCTTAATAGCTAGGAATTTTCTAAATTTAGAAGTAGCTTTCAGGAAACAATCAAATACGTTCTATAACGTGGCAAGTTTTGTTATAGGTGTGATATTTGAGTGCCACTAGTGCTGTTTTTACAGTTAAAAGAACATTTGCTATATGTTTCAGTAAATTGCAAAACTTAGGAAACTGAAAAAAAGGCATGAAATAATTCATTTATTGACTTACTTTCTAAACATCTTGGAGCAGCTTGCATGTAGTGGGGGAGCACTAAATTTAGAAGAGTTTTTATGGAACTTTACAGTCACAAAGCGCTTCCACCTGTATTTGAGGTGAGTGAGCGCAGGCATTTGTATCCTTAATTTACAGATGAGGAAACTATTCCAAGTCAAACAACTAGTCAGTAGAGGAACTGGCGCCCACACCCCTTTCATTCTTCCCAGCTGCCTTTCCAAACAAATCCTGGAGGAAATTGTGTCTTTGAGCAGGAAGGCAAGCCCTCCATGGCTTCACTAGAAGCCTGTGTAAGAAAAAGAAAAGGGGGGAAGAAAAAGAAGGCTGTGTAGATATAAAAGCCTTGTCAGAGGCCCTTTCCCAAGGCTCCCCTATTCCTCACCTTGTTCCTCAGAGGCTGGCCCTAAGGCTGGAGGTATGGTAACAGGGTGAGGTGTCTATTTTTGCATATGTTTGGTGTTAAACAAGCCCTGGCTTTATATCTTCGCACGCATGTTAATGCTATATTTAGCGCTTCCCAGGTGGCGCTAGTGGTATAGAACCTGCCTGCCAATGCAAGAGACACAGGATACCCGGGTTCAACCCCTGGGTCTCCCGGAGAAGGAAATGGCAACCCCACTCCAGTGTTCTTGCCTGGAGAATCCCATGGACAGAGGAGCCTGGTGGGCTACAGTCCATAGCGTTGCAGAGAGTTGGACAAGACTGAAGTGTCTTAGCATGCATACCCTTGGCTTTATGTATGTTTATGAGATCCAACCATAAGGCCACGTCAAAGTGGCTGCCGTGTGAACCAGCAGAGCTGACAGGTTGGAGTGGAGACACTTGGTTGTGGAGTGCCCCCTGGAGAAGCAGGTGGGAATGGCTGCGATGAAGACGGACGGTGGGAGAGGGAGAGGGCCGCGGGGCTGTGCTCCCTCCTCTGCAGTGGTCCAGGCATGGACGTCTTTAGAGCTCTTACCATGGCTCGCCAGTCTTTCCAAGTCCAAAGATATGTACAAAGATATGTAGGAGGTGCTCAGGATCGGTTGAATGATACGCATTTGGAACTTTAAAAAAAAGATGTAAGAATAATTTTTCCCCTTTTAGTCTACCTTTCTTTAATGTGAAAAATACTTTTAAAACAAACATCAAGTCAATCTCAACATTTAAAATTTAAAGTTTTGGATATTGTGAATGCAGAGGTACTCCTGGGTCATTCTTAAATTTGATTTCCTTAGTCCTGGGTTAATATCATTTTGGTTTTTGTCTGTACATTTCAGAGTTGCTCCCTTCAAAGCTGTTCCTCTGCAGGATTGACGATAAAAGCCACTGAACTTTGTTTAATTGACTAATTAACATTTTAAACACTATGTTTTAAAATGTCACCTGGAGCCTAGGTGACTACAGCTAATTTACCCAGTGTACACACAGGGCTTCTTTTCAGTGGGCTTCCCTGCCCTAGTCTTCCTGCTAGGATCACAGCCTCTGTCTTCCTTCTGCTCTGCTTATCATGTGTGGGTTTCATATGCCAGTGTCTTTTTAGTGAGCCTTTATGCAGCACTGGATGTGTGCAAGATCTGAGCCCAGTGGTGCCAGGAAATCAGATAAGTGCAATAGGCATCCTCACCTAAGTCATCACCTGATGAGACCACAGTGTGGACTCAGAGAAGGTTCAAATCAGAACCTTCCTGGGAGTGGGGAGGTCAGGATGCAAGGGAAGAGGGGGTTCCTGGTGTCTAGAGGTGGGCCTTGAAGAATGGGAGGAAGCGGAGGTGGTTTACTGCATGCCAGGCTCTGCTCTAAGCACCACCTGTGTGTCCATATATTTCATCCTTTTAAGAACCATATAAAGTCCATTCAGTTGACACCTGCATTTTATACAAAGGAAGCTGACACAAAGAGAAGTAACCTGTCCGCGAGCACACAGCTCATCGGTGGTACTGCTGGAGTTCTCAGCCAGGCAGTCAGGCTGCAGAGTTCATGCTGCGAATTGCTACCCTGGGCACTTGGGGCTTGGACAAGTGAAGATGAAGCATTGTGACTTCCAGGAGGTAGATGGGGAAGCCATGGTAATCATGGAGGTGGATGAGTCAGTTTGGGCCACTTTGCCGAGTTCCTGGAATCCCACACTGACGGGGATGATTGGACCTAGAGGGCCATTGGCTTGGTGGGCCCTGTCATTGGCGTCGCTTCATTTGGTGGCATGTTGTACTTGTCATGGGTGGGCAGCAGGGATGCTGGGAAGGTTTAGGGAAATTGCATAGCTTCCAAATGTTCATAAATCTTATTTACTTGTTAAGAGATGAGGTCTACTCTGTGTTACCAAGTTTTACCCCCTTTCTGGGAACCTGCTTGGCCTTTTGTACACCCTGTGGGTAGAGATACCTTTGTGTTCCTGCTTGCTGTCCTCATAGCTTAAGGAGAATTGTTGTTTTCTTCATGAACTGGCAGTGGAATTCTCTGTAGACAAACAATTAGTTTAATCAAACATCCCACCATTAGGTATCAGACGATTCTAGAGTGCTGGGGATGAGGCAAGTCTGTTTTCTTTTCTCCATGGTATTCAGGATTACCCAACCCTGTGAGAAAGGGTTTGAGAGCCCTTCTGGAGCTACCATCTGAACTTGTTGGTTCAGTTGTTCTTGTTATTTAGTTGCTAAGTCGTGTCCAACTCTTTGTGACTTCATGAACTGTAGCCCACCAGGCTCCTCTGTCCATGGGGTTTTCCAGGCAAGAATACTGGAGTGGGTTGCCATGTCCTCCTCCAGGGGATCCTCCCAACCCAGGGGTGGAACCCACATCTCCTGCTGGGCCGGCAGATTCTTTATGGTTGAGCCACTGGGGAAGCCCTCTTGTTGGTTCCTTAGCTGCATCATATTTTCTAGTTCAGCGGAGGGATTCATTTTTAAAAGAACCCTGAAACTGCCTGTCATTACGCTCATGTCTCAGGAAGACCTCATACTACACTGTTGCAAGTACTGATGTGCAGCTAATTGCACTGTGAAGGATTTGGGCTTTTTGAAGCTTAATGGTTTTTTCAGCTGATAACAGATATCACAGAATAAATTCATCCCACCAAAAGAAAGCGGTGAACGTTTTCTAACCCGGTCTGGTGTTATTCCAGTAGTGGGAATCTCCACACCAGGAACGTGCTGTCCCTTTGGCATGACCGGGCTCAGGTGGGATGGTGAGTGAGCTTTGCCCTCCCTCTTGGCGCCGGCTGGAATCGCGCAGCGTGCCAGCTGAATCTCTCTCTCTGCTTCTCCCCAGAAGCCCCTTGTGCGACGCCCCTGATCTGCAGCTTCGGGAGGCTGGTGGACCTGGAGAAGGACGACTACCAGAAGGTGGTGTGCAACAACGAGCAGTGCCCGCACAGCTCCTGGATGCACCTGCAGTGCTTCTACGAGTGGGAGAGCAGCATCCTGGTCCAGTTCAACTGCATCGGCCGCGCCCGCAGCTGGAACGAGAAGCAGTGCCGCCAGAACATGTGGACCAAGAAGGGCTACGACCTGGCCTTCCGCTTCTGCTCCTGCCGCTGCGGCCAGGGCCACCTGAAGAAGGACACGGACTGGTACCCGGTGAAACGGATGCAGGACGAGAAGAAGAAGAAGTCGGGGTCGGAGAAGAACAGCGGGAGGCCCCCCGGCGAGGCGGTGGAGGAGGCCAAGAAGTGCCGGCCGCCCTCCAAGCCCCAGAAAGGCCTGAGCCACGACCTGCCCCGCCGGCACTCCATGGACCGGCAGAACTCGCAGGAGAAGGGCGGCGCCGGGGCCGGCGCGGCAGCCTATGGGGCGCGCTCGCCCTGCGGCTCCCCGGGCCAGTCCCCTCCCACTGGCTACTCCATCCTCTCCCCCGCCCACTTCAGCGGCCCCCGCTCCTCCAGGTACCTCGGGGAGTTCCTCAAGAACGCCATCCACCTGGAGCCTCACAAAAAGGCCCTGGCCGGGGGCCACGTGTTCCGAAACGCCCACTTTGACTACAGTCCGGCGGGGTTGTCCGTTCATAGGGGGGGCCACTTCGATGCGCCCGTGCAGTTCCTCCGGCGCCTGGACCTGTCCGAGCTCCTGACTCACATCCCCCGGCACAAGCTGAACACTTTCCACGTGCGGATGGAGGACGATGCCCAGATGGGCCAGGGCGAGGACCTGCGCAAGTTCATCCTGGCAGCCCTGAGCGCCAGCCACAGGAATGTGGTGAACTGCGCGCTGTGCCACCGGGCGCTCCCGGTGTTCGAGCAGTTCCCGCTGGTGGACGGAACTCTGTTCTTAAGCCCCTCGAGACACGATGAGATCGAGTACGATGTTCCCTGTCACCTTCAAGGTACAGGTGTTCACTCACCTCGCCTGTTTTCTGTGTGTGAGAAGTGAAACGCCAACGAGAGGGGATGGCTGTGTTTGGGCTTCATTTTCACTGCGGGTGTGTTTTTGTTCTAGTCAGGAGCTAGCTAACATTTGAATATTTCAGCTCTGCCTAGTGAGGTGGTGGAGATGGTATCCTTCACTCTGATGTCACAGTATACCAAGTATACAGTGGTCCTGGTGGGTAATTTTATGTTTTTGTCTTGCTCTAATTTGAAGAGAGGATTCGGATGTGTAGTGTTTAGTAATTGGGAAGAAAGTTAGAGAAGGAATTGCATAAAAATGTTTTATTTGCTATAAAATAGTTGCCTTTGAAATCTATGTTAATATACTCAGCAAGCTATAGTGTATTCTCTTTGATCCTTGTAAACATAACACAGTGAAAGAAAAGGAGGGGTCAGAGACAGTTGAGTTTTTAGATTAGTTGAATTAATCTTAAAATTTGTGGAAGGTGAGACTTTCTTGATCACAGCAAAAGGAAAAGTTAGATATTACTCTGGTAGTGAGGGGTGGCTTCCCTGGTAGGTCAGCTGGTGAAGAACCTGCCTGTGATGCAGGAGACCCCGGTTCGATTCCTGGGGTCGAGAAGATCCCCTGGAGGAAGGATAGGCTACCCACTCCAGTATTCTTAGGCTTCCTTGGTGGCTCAGAAGGTAAAGAATCTTTCTGCAGTGCTGAAGACCTGGGTTTGATCCCTAGGTTGGGAGGATACCCTGGAGGAGGCCATGGCAACCCACTCCAGTATTCTTGCCTGGAGAATCCCTATGGACAGAGGAGCCTGGCGGACTGCAGTACATGCGGTCACAAAGAGCTGGAGCCGACTGAGTGACTTAGCACACACAGGCGAGAGTAGGAGGTGGGGAGCTTGTCAGTGCTGCGGATGACATACGGAGACTGGGATATCTCAGCCAAAAAGTGAAGGACGGGCTTGATCAGTGGACAGAAGACTCTGTCAATTCACGTAAAACTATTGAATTTATATAAATATGGGATATATGACATATAAGCTGTTTATAACTTTAAAACTGTGCTGAGAAAGCCTATAGTAAGAAGGATATATCCCCACTTAACTTCTTCCTACCAGCCCCTGCTGTCTCACTTCTCAGAGACACTTTCAAATCTTAACTAACTTCAGATTTTTACCATCATAATTTTAAAACGGCTAACTTCATTCTCCAATTTTAGGTATTACCTATTGATGTACCTTTAAAAATTAAAAAAAATTTGGGGCTGTGGGCATAGGCTTTTCTCTAGTTGCTATGGGGTGGGGGGGTAGTCTGTAGTTGCCTTGGGTGGGCTTCTTGTGGTGGCTTCTCTTAAGGTGGAGCCTGGGCTCCAGGGCGTGAGGGCTTCAGTAGTTACGGCGTTTGGGCTCAGTAGTTTCAGCTCCCAGCTCTAGAGCACAGGCTCAATAGTTGGGCTCATGGGCTTAGTTGTATGTGGGGTCTTCCTGGACCAGGGATCAAACCTGTGTCTCCTGTATTGGCAGGTGGATTCTTTACCGCTACCCACAGGGAAGTAAAGTATTGATCTACTTTTAAGGTGGATGATGATTTATGCTTTCTTGTATCTTCCCCTTTCTCTCAGGATAATGCATCACAATTCTTAGTTGAATCCTTAATGATTTTGCTGTTATGAGTATGTAAATATTTTGTCCTGAGCCAGCAAGTATAGATGTATTTCCTGTGTAGAGAGTCATATGTTCCAGGACACCTTTTGTTTTTATCAGAGCTAATAATTGCTTAACCTTTATTGAAGCTTTGGTTGGTAGTTCTAACTCTCCAGCAGCTCTACAAACCACCTTTCAAAAATATTTCCACATTACCAGTCAAACATTTTATTAATTTTTTTCTAGAAATTTTTTTTGTGGACTCTTTCACCTTCCTGCTTCTGTCCATCCCGGTGCACCTAAATACTACCTAGCTGTACTACTTAGGTGTCCTAGGAATTTCTTCATCTCTTTCCTATTTTTTATCTTCTGCTTCCTTGATCTCACACTTTCTTTTTTATTCTTAGTTAATTTCCTGTTTGTTGAGAAGCATCCTTTAGGAGCTTTCTGAGAAAGGAGGCTTGGGGATAGATATTTTCAGATGTTGAAAGTCTGATAGTATCTTGATTCTGTCTTCACACTTGATTGGTAGTTGGCTGGGTATAGTCTTCCAAGTTATAATTATTTTCCCTTTGGAATTTTGAAGGCTTTTCTTCACTGACTCCTGTCTTCCCGTGTTGCTACTGAGAAATCTAATATTATTCTTACTCCTGTTCCTTCATCCCACGTTCCTATCCTCCAAAGGTTTTTAGATTTTCTAGTATTCTGAAGTTTCACCATGATGTGAGTCTCTTTTTCCATTCATTGTGCAAGATGCTTTCTTAACTTTATGATTTTGTAAACTTAGAGTCTTCAGTTTGGGGAAATTTTCTTTTATTTCTTTGATTCACCCCCGTTTTCGTTTTATTCCCTATGTTTTTTTTAACTCTGTAAAACAGTTAATCAGATGTTGGACCTCTTAGACTAGTCTTTTTTTTTTTTTTTTGAGGTGGAAGAGATGCTTCATTATGTATGTTTTTGGTCCTGTTGTTCATCTCTTTATCATTCTTTTCTGTGGAAGATTTCTGTGATTTTATATTCCAATATTTCTACTGAGTTTAAGGTTTTCTATTCTGTGTTGTATTTGTAATTTCCTAAAGTTCTTTTTAATAGCATCCTGTTCTTATTTCATTGATGCTATTTCTATTTTATTTTTCTCAGCAGGGAAAGTGAGCTGAATTTGGTTTTACTCGTTTTCTGGAATTTCACCTATTCCTCTGTGTCTTTTCGCCTTTGTTATTGGGCAAACCACTCTGAAACTTAGTGGTATGAAACAGTGATGATTCATAATTTCTCACAGTTCTATGAGTTGGTTGGTTAGGATGGCATCTTACACGTCTTGCAGTTGGCAGACTGGTTGGCCTTGGGAGCCTTGGCTAGAATGGCTTATCCCTGTTTATACATCCTTTCATGTGCCAGTAGACTAGCCAGGGCTTTTTTACATGCTGTTTTCAGGATAGCAGTGAAGATGGGGAGAATGGAGCTGCATGGCCTTTCCGTCTTGAGGCTTAAGCTTGGGACTGAGTAAGTCACTTCAGTCACATTCTGTTCTTCAAAATAAGCTGTCAGGCTATCCCAAATTCAGGGGATCATTCAGTAGACTCTGCTTCTTGATGAAAGTTGTATAGCATGTGTGGTTATTTAGTAATAAATTACTCTTTCTCCTTTAGCACTTCATCTCAACCTCCCCTGTGCTTTTTGTCTAGTTTCAGAGCTGCACCATTTACTATTTCTCCATTTTATTTCTGACCTCATATTTTGGCTCACCGTTACAAGTATGTCATTGTTTCACAGAAGATGGAATTTGTATTTTGTTACATGATCTTTCTACTGTGTGGGGATAATTATAGAGGAAAGAAGATGGAAACGTCTTCATCATTTCATGACTGGAAGTATTCTTCATGAAAATGAATGAGGATACAAGTGTATAGGGTACAAGAGAGAAGAGTTGTCCTTTTTCTATTCATGATGGACAGATTCCTTTCATTTAGTCAGTTCATCAACCAGCCAGACTTACACAATGCATGCTTGAACTGGGTACTATCAGTTCTTGCTACTCATCAGTCTATAATCTTAGGATGTAAGATGCATTTATAAAAATGTAACTAGCTTTACCAGGCCTAAGGCACTAGTCTCACCTGTGGAAGTGGTATCACCTGGCTATTATGTACATAAAGCAGTATCTTATCATTTACGAGGAGGAAAGGGGCACTTTGACCTGGATAGTCAAAGGAGGCAGTATGAAAACAGATCAGGAGGTGCATTGGACTTTGATAAACTCACGGTCTAACTACTACATCAGGTGTTTGTTGATAAGGAGTAATGTGAGCAAAGGAATGGTGGTTCATAAAAAGATCAGGAGACAGAGAATTGAGAGAACCATTTGGCTGGAGCAGAGGTTCTCCGGTGGAAAATGAGTAAAGTATGTGGAGAACAGATTATAGATGTCCTTTCAAGCCATAACAGCTTTGCCATGTTGATGAGTTGAAGAATTTAGCGATTTTTTTTTTTTTTAAGCCAATGGTTGTTTGGGAGAAAAATTGTTTGCACGGGGTGGAAGTTATGCAGCTGTAACTTAAATCTCCATTCTAGATGCAAGGAGAAAAGTGACCGGCCGAGTGGTGACAGTGGAGATTGAAAGGTGAGATTAGCTGTAAGAGGTTATGTTAAAGGGAAGATCACAGCTTTGGAGACAGCTTGACTGTGGAGCATGGAGATGTGTCCTTGTTGGCTCACTCTTAGTCTAGACAAAGTAAATGGTTTCATGAACAGGAGTGCAGACAGTTGGGGAAGGGACCAGGCCTTAGACGAAAGAAGATGAGGCGTTTGTGTGTATTGGGTTTGGAGAGATGCTGGGACTTTTGTGTGGAGATGTCTCTCACAGGTGCTATGAGAAATAAACACCTAAGATGAACATTGACGCTTATTTATAATGTTAGTGGCTAAAAGAGTAGAAGAGCTCTGGAGTGGGGAGGAAAGAGAAGGAAAAGCAGGAATATGTGACCGAGCCCAGGGCTGATCTCGGATACCCATCAGAGAGTGGATGAAAGGGTAAAAATTAGCCTGAAAATTCGTGTGTCTGTACACACCTGAAGTACATATACATCACAGATAATGAGTGCATTAGGTGTGTACCACAAAGGTCTTGAACAGTTTGATTGTTGATATTAAAAATCTGAGGATCTGGGTGTTTTATCAGTACCTGGCAAGTCAGGGCACAAGTGGGGCCTTGGCATATGTCTGTGTTTTTATTGCCACATCTAAGAGCAGTCCATGCAATCTTTTTTATAACAAGCCAGTGTCAATCTTTCTTCCATTCCAGAGTTTCAACCATGTATTCCTTAAAGCGTTTGCAGTTCCAGTAGAAAGGCCCATTCCAGGCCGTACGATTCCAGGCCGCAGTTGGTGATACACTCCGGAAATATTGTGTTATTTCCAGTGGTGGATCCTGTGGATTGTCATGCCCTTGCCCTGGGGCCCATCCCCGTCACTGTCTTCCCCAGCTTCCAGCTCCTCTTCCCTGACTTTTCCAGACAAAGATGCTTTTGCTTGGTTGTGATCATTTATTAAGGTTTAATAACTTACTAATTTACTGAGACAGATGGAATTAAAAATTTCTTTTGGTGCTGCTTTATCACTTAGAACAACAGAAATCTACTATTTGTTTGAATTCACAATCCTAGAATAGATTTAGAAATTTTAAATTCTCAGTACTTAGGACAGTGTGTAAACAGTAATTGAAACAAATCCAGAGACTCAGTCCAGGCCAGGAATTCCCATGCTGTAGAGTGGAGGTTAAGAGTCAGATAGAAATTTAAGTCTGGACTTTGCTACTTACTATCTTTTAGAACTTGAACAAGCTACTTCAGCCCTAGTAAGTTTTACTTCCTCCTGTCTGAAGTGGGAATAACAATAATGCCTACTTTATAGGGTTGTCATGAGGGTTAAGTAAAATGAGTCACATAGCCTCCAAGAACAGTGCCAGGCCCTGAGTAAGCACTCAGTGAGGTTCACTGTCAACTTCATCATAGTGGTTATTGCTACCAACATGTGACTTCTCCATCTGTCCCTGCCCCAACCAGCCACCGGGGTGTCTTTGAGTGTTGGAGAACTGCAGTGAGTAAGTCTAGGAGAGGGATTGGAAATGAAGCCATTTTCAGTGGCAGCTGGATACTGAACTGACATCCTGAAATGCCGTCGGCCACTCTGAGTGGGCATGGCATGTGAGATCGTTTTATTTTCAGAACACTACAGAGCAGAGGTGGGCAGTATTGCAAGAAACTCTTGTCACCCATCCCATTTTTGGCAGAGGCCGCCAAGGTTAAAATGCCTTTGGCTGTTAACATGTTCCATCCGTTCATGCAACATACCATTATGGAATGCTTTCCATGTTCCAGATACTGTGCTAGACATTGCACCTTCAAGGAGGGCATAGTTCTCACAGAGGTGGAGAGAGTCTTGTCAACGAATGAAATGAAAGGTTTCCTTATAAGTGCTGTATATATCCCTTTCCAATGGGTAAGGAGCAGGCTGGCCCTTAACCACTGAAAAGATGGCAGTGAGCCCCACATTCTGAATAAGAAACCGCATAGGAGTATGTGTCCTGCTGACGGTAGTTTTTAGCACAGTGGAACCCTGATCCCCACGTAGAGAGCATTGTTGCTGCTACCTGTTGCCTGATGCTGGACATTCTAACTCTTCCTGATTTGAACCTAAACCATTCCATATAAACTAAGGCGATGTCTTTCCTTTATAAGCATTAGATATCGATAAGTGGTAGAGGGGTGAGCTTGCGACTTTCAAGAGCCTAGTAAATAGCAAGACATTGAACTCCTTTTGGAAAAAAACACAAGTAAGATATAATTCTAGTTCCTAAATTGGATGTGGTGATGGCTGAGCAATTTTGGAGGCAAGAACAGTTAACGTAGTAATTTTGGCTGTGGCATAATTCTGGGCTATCAATACCAAGACAGGCTCTGGGCTTTTTATGAGGGGACAATGAGAGCCCCTGAGCACAGACCAGCATTGCTGGTTCAGCCTCCATATTCCACAGTAGACCTCTGAGCAGAAAGTCCTGCATGATCCCAGGTTGGTTATGAGCCTCTGTAGCTTGATCATGTGAGTTTGGATATACATATTGTAAACTTGGCAGCACTTTTCAGAAAAGTGAGTTGAAGCCAGTGTTTAATAAGGTTGAACTTAAAGTATGTGTCTCATCGACAGTAGTTGGTCTAAAAGGACAACTTGGGGATATATGATGTGTACTATCTATTTTGCTTTTTATATTTGTTCAGATGAAGAAGTGTTGGCTTGTAACCGATACGTAAGCGACTGTTTAGTCCCCTTGGTGACCAGAGGGGACTGCTGTCAGCCTCTCAGCCCCTGTCTTCTCTGCACAGGGAGGCTCATGCACCTGTACGCCGTGTGCGTGGACTGCCTGGAGGGTGTGCACAAGATCATCTGCATCAAGTGTAAGTCGCGGTGGGACGGCAGCTGGCACCAGCTGGGCACCATGTACACCTACGACATCCTGGCCGCCTCGCCGTGCTGCCAGGTTGGTGACGACCTGTGGGGCAAGCGGGGGGCTCGGGCTCTGTCCCCGGGGACATGGGAGAGTCCTGGGGCGGCGCTGGAGGGGTGGGAGGGCGCGCAGAACCTGTCATAGGAAGGAGCGGCCAAGGGCCTCCAGGAGTCCAGCAGTGAGGGGGCCGCTGTTCCTGGAATACTTGGCGGTCATTAAACGGACCTTGCAGGATAATGTATTATTCTGTGGGAAATAGTTTCAGTCTTTTAGTCAAACAAAGCACGTCTTAAATGGCAGAAAAGCACACTTTGATTTGTAAAAAGTGAACATGAAAAGGACTCTGTTAGCCTGTTACCAGAGATTGTCTCTGGATGAGGGGATGGGATGCTCAATGGTTCCTTTAGTTTTCTTCTTGCTTACTTAGAGTTTTTAAAGCTTTAGATGTAAGAAAAAGTTGTCATTTTTAAAAGGAAAGAAGAAAGTCTCACTTCCTCTCGTAGACAGGATTTTCTTTTTGTTGCCTTTGTGTGGGACAGTGCAGTTTATACAGGATCTGCCCGCCATGGAATGTGTCTGAGGCTGACTTGAAAGATTTGTAATCCTTAAAGCTCTGCTAAGGGGAGGCATATTTTGATGCTAAGAAAGCATCTGAAATTTAGCTGTCATGAGGAAAAGAGGGAAGTATTAACATGTGAAAATGCATTAAATAAGTCCATAGAAACAGGAGACAAAACAAAATCCTTGGAAATATCTTGATTTGTTTCCAAGTGCTTTGGAAAAGAAAATGCTTTTTGTATAATTCCTTGATACTTACAGGCTGGAGAGATTATTTTCCTTTCCTCTTAAGTGGTTAAGCCTTTAATATAAACACCTGATAACCATTTCAGTGGTTTATTAATAGTTTTATATCTTTAGCATTATGATTTGATTTTTATAAAGAGAACAACCTTACCATTAGCAATTTATTCAGAAGATAAGCTGTGTTGGTTGAATGAGGAGGTTGACGGGGTTGGTATTTCAGCCTTTCTGTGTTTGTACTACTGATCTTAGAAGAGAGATATAGTTGTGAGAGCCCTGAATGGTCATTCGTAGCCTGTCATTTGATTCTAGATATAATTGATTCCTTTTATGCTATTCTCAGATACAGACCACATTTCCATTTTAAAACTTAGCCTTGGAAATGAGATCTCATTGTCTTTTACTAATAGTTATTCCCTGTAGCATTTTATAATACCCAGTGTACCTTGATGCCTGCTCTTGAGATGAGAGAAACAAAAGGAAGAGTTCTCTCCCACACACACCAGTTACCTTTTAAAGAAATAGGGAAGTGAAAGAATGTGTGGGCCTATAACTCGTAAAAGTGCTAGCACTGGAAAGGACTCTTTATTTTTCACATGCAATGGAGGCCTCCACAACTAGAACTTTTCCCCCAGGTCTACCCACACGTATCACAGCATGACCACAAACCTCTGTCACTCCTAGCCTGGTGCTCTTTCTGCTTCACCCCTGACAGGCCCTGGGATTGCTGTCTTATCTTCAGGGAGAAAAGCAGAGTGGTATCATGCCACACCCAGCCTGTTGTTACTCACCATATATTTCTTCCTTACAACAATTTAATCCCAGACACTTTTTTAAAAATTTTTATTCTGGTCCCTTACTGGAGTGGACTTAAAAAAAAAATCAATTTTTTGACTTAAAATCAATTAACCATATTCACTGAGAAAGGTACAAATGTTAGATGCTACTTTATAATTTCCTGTTATTCACTGAAGTCCTTGGACCTATTGTTGAAAGCTTAGGTCTGGTGCTAATAGAGGGGGGCCAGGGCATGAATGAATGTACAGTGTTCTTGCGGGTTCCAGAAGCCTCAGCATAAACATGGCCCTTATTTCCAGATCCTCAGTTTTACTAGAGTATTTGAGGGAATTTTTATTTTTACCTCAAAGAAAGCAGAAATGTAGTTAGGAGGAGAATGAAAAATGTATATACATTTAAGAAATAAACTCAAAAACAATCTTCAAAGAAATTTCATGCAGGTTTGGATGAGAGAGGTTGGTTTCAGCCACTTTTTAAAACCCACAGGGAAGAGATTTTCGATTGTTAGGTGTTTTACTGGAGAAGTTTAGGCAGTACAGGTTTCTTCCCGTCAGTAGAGTAATTACAAGCAATGCTGCACATCAGGAGAGAAATGAAGGATTGTTAATCTTTTAGGCTGATGGGTAAATATTTGCGTGTATAATATCTCCTGCTTATCTGATGCTCTGCCCACTCTGTTTGGGGTAATAAAGGGGTGTTTATTAAACTCCTGATCCGTTTCCCAGGTAAGCAGTCTGGAGTGTTGGTCGGCAACACTGGGGGGCAGAGGGCTAGTGTGGCTCACGGCATCTTGTGTCCCCCGCAGGCCCGCCTGAACTGCAAGCACTGCGGGAAGCCAGTGATCGACGTGCGGGTTGGCATGCAGTACTTCTCCGAGTACAGCAACGTCCAGCAGTGTCCGCACTGTGGCAACCTGGACTACCATTTCGTGAAGCCATTTTCCTCCTTCAAAGTTCTTGAAGCTTATTGATGAAAGCTTTGCTTTAGTAATAGCTATTTTATTGATATTACTTTGTTACATATCTTTTCTAGGGAAGCCTTCTGTGACATTCGTTTCTTTTCTAATTGAAAGGAGAGTTCCTTTGTGTACACGTGCCATTTCCAGGGGGCCTGCCCCTTCCCTCTCTGACTCCCACGTGTTAGTCTGTGGCCATGACCAGAGCCCAGTCAGGTACTCCTGTGAGCTTGGGGGAGCGGTTCACTAAGAGTCTCTCAGGCAGCTTTTAGGGTGGTGGGGAGGATGGGGTGACTTTAGGAAAGGGGTCACATGGTCATAAACTGAGAGCATGGAAGGAGCTGGGAAGAAACTCTTACTAAGGTGTTAACTGTCTAAAGATCCACTTTGAGGTCTTCTCTGGGCCTTGGGAAAAACATGCGACAAGTGAATGTAACCTATGCCTGGAGAGCTGCTGGTGCGTTCGTCCGCTTTAGTTTGGCATCCTGCAGCACACTCTGACCTGCAGCTTCCCCCACTGACAGGTCACTGGGAAGGACATGAGCCCTGGTTCTGTCCCTGTTGTATTCTAGCAGCCAGTTTTCATACTGAAAATGATATCCAAATTAAAAGGCATATGAAAACAATGGGTGTTGCACATACTTTTAGGTAAAACTGACACGTAACAAAGAGGATATGCTAGAAGAATTTGGAAATGATGCACACTGACTCTGAGGGCGCAGGGCAGAGCCCGGTCACTTGAATTGTGTCTTTGAGGTTGGTCAAACAAGCTTGTAAGGAGAATTCCATGAATAACATGATTTGGGAGATACTCATTTATATAGGTTCACACTGTCGAAGTGTCATTTGATGTCAGATCCTTCTCACAGGTAAATCTCACAGCCACAAACCCTAACTGGTGAGTTTCACAAGCAATCATTGCCACACTTACCTTCCCCCCAAACTGCTTATGGCTGCATTTTACTCTGTTAGTGCTGAGTTTCCAAAATCAAAGATTTGACCTTCAGAAGGAATGGAAAAAAATTATTTGTGAAGCTTTGAGGAGAAGAATAATTTTAGTATTTCTTTTTAAAGTGTTTCATTTTGGAAGATCACCAATTATAATGCATAACAATATGTTTGAGAATAGATTATTCTGAAGATCTCTATGATACCTTACCACTGGTGAAAAAGATGGTAATTTATAGAACTTTGTTAGTCAGAGCATTGAGCTTTCTAAAATACAGCCTATGTTTATTAGAGTTTCCTGATTTAAATAGACTGACACCCCATATCTTTATAAAACTGGAATTGGAATATGATTTCTCAAAAAATGAATTTGGTAATTTCAACTATAATACACATATGTGTTATAAGGATGCTGAGAATATCCTTTTATGGGTAACTAAATTTGGGGTTATGTGGATATTTTCTGTTATTTAGTTTATATCATTTACCCCCCTCACCCTCCAGAAAAAAACAGTGTTTTTCCTCTCAGAAGTGTTTAAGCATCATTGCAAGTGAGTTTCAGTTCTGCTACATGGAATATTTGATGTTTTGTTTGAAAGAACACAGCTGACTGTGAGAGTTTGACTAATACTCTTCGTCTTTTGGTTTGGATGATGATAATTTGGCTGACCACATCTAGTTTGATGTTTGATGATCTGAAGAATATTTCACAGTGGGGGGAAATGCTCAATGCTCATATGACACAGCAAGTTGTTATTGGTCTGACAGTGTTTGATGCAGGGAAAAGAGGTCTATAGGACATAGCTCTTGCAAATCTGTCTTTGATATACAAAACTGTAACTGAATCAGCTGTTTCCTTATTGATTCTCTGTCATGTACCAGGTATAAAAAAATTGAGGAGTTTTTCTTTTCAGAGTACCATTGGATTTTATTTCTGAATTTCAAATGAGTAGTAAAATATTTGTAATGCTGTTCTTTAACCCACCTAAATTTCTAAAGAGAAACCTGCTTGTATTGTTGTTCTGAAGCTTAAAAGCTTAAATGTAGATCACCTACATGCCCCTCAGCCTAAAACTGTTGCAAGCGCAGATGCATTCAATATTTTCCCCTAACGTTGTTGTCTACTCTTGGAGAAATAAGTATGAGGAGGTTTCACTGTAATTGAGTAAAGTTTGCTTGTGGCCTTTATTTTGATGGTTCTGTTAGGATTCTGTGGGTGCTAAATTGATAACGCCTTTACAGCATTGCATTCTTGACTAAAATGGAAAATTTGGCAGATTTGAGAATAAAATTTAATTGAGTATGCAACCATGTGAAGAATAAATTTTATTTTGGAATCTGCTGACCTTAATATTTTCATCATACTTTCTAGAAGTACTTTGTTCTGAGTACCTTGATAAGAATTGGAATGTACCAAAAAAGATGATTATTTTGGTTGAGGTTCAGATGTTAAAGGATATTAGTCACCCAAGAGGTCCATTTTCTGTTTTTCTGATAGTGTTCAATGACATGAACCCACTTATAGGTAATTTTTATCTACTTTAACTTGTTTTATTATTAATTTTTAAGAGTTAAACCTTGAACAAATAAAATTACCTGCTTTAGTTTAGTGGGATGACTATTTCTGATCGTATTGTCATCTTCTCTTCAGGCAAGCTCAGTTCTTCACTCTCTTCTGTTTTCTGTTTGCATTTGAAGCAATTGATACACCTATAACCATGAAGTTAGGGAGTGGGCTGAATTATCCCATTGTAATTAAGAAAGAGCTTTCTCCAAACAGTCTTTAATTTCCAGTTTTTGTAAAAGAAGTGTATTCATTTTGGGAATAAAAAGTATTTTCATATCTGTCTGGGGGGAAATTAACTCCTCAGGAAAGAATATTCCTAGGTGTTTAAATCCTAAAACTAACAGAAAAACTTTGAATGTAACTTGTTAGATCACCCAGACTAACTTGCTGAAAGCCTTCTTTCTGTCCTGTGAGATCAGTGCTAAACACGCAGTCTCTGCTCCTGCATCCGGGTTGGGCGCTCCAGCTCGCTCTTTTCCTTAGTCTCATGGTGGCAGCTGTTGGGTCATTGCAGTCAGAGGTTGGGAGGAGGTGAGGAGAAGGTGCTCTTGTTCAGTGTTTTGGTTCCTGTAAAAGGATGCTGCCTAACCCAACTCATCTCTGTGTCCTGTTGACTTTATTATTATTCCAGGTCATTGGAAGAAAACATAATGGATGGGCATCATTAACACCAGCTCAAAAACATGTTCTTGTCAGTAAAGATTTCTTGTCAAGATGTCTTGGATTGCACTTTTGTTGAGAGAAGACTGTGTAAATAGTTAAAGAATGTTGATAAAATTGAAACATTTGGAACTGTGTGGTGTTAGAAGGTTTCTGTTTGTGAAATGTATGTATTAAAAATAATAAAATTTCAGAAACTAATATTGTATTCTCTCTTTGGTGTGCCACTTTATTTTCTGTTGGGATTTTAGGTGTTTGAGCTTGGGATTGTTTGGTCAGAAAAGACAATAGAGACGTCCTTCCTAAGGTTTGGTCACTATTCATGTAGCCATTTCAGAGTCACTACTGCAGCTAATAAAGACTCAGAACTTTTTTTGCTGTTTAAAAGTGATGCGTCACATACAAATTCCCTTTACAACAAATAAGCATTCTACATAACAGAGTTGGTTCCATGTGGATGATCCACAATTATTGTTCTGGTTATAGGGAATTATATCTGACTAAGTAGATAATCCTGTTCTACAATTTGTTGTTGTTTCTAGGCCTGTAACAATTTGCATAATGAAAAGACTAGATTACATCCTTTTTCGTTATAAGAAAATGAGAACTGAGTTGTTAAACTTCTTGCTAACTTGAGGCACTGTGATCTAGTTTAGTTTATGTTTCAAATTTCCTTGTTCCCTTCATTTCACATATTATTCTTAGTCAAAGAATTGAAGTCCACAAAATCATCATAGTACATAATAACATGTGGAAAGGAGGGTGAGGAAAGAGTCTCCAGGGGATTCTAAGCTCGTTTTACCATTATTTCCTACAGACATCTGAGATATAAATCTTATTTATTCAAAGTCTTAATGACTTGGGATCTCATGATTGCTACTAGTGTAATTTATTTCAACAAAATTCCTTTGCAATTGTAAGGAACATATAGTTCTTACTATGGCAGAAAGAAAAAAAGTTAAACTGATTATTAACAATTATGTTTAATGGAGGAAAATTTTATTTGTTCCTAGTGGTTTCCATTTCTCTAAATCTTGCTTATGTAGCTTTGACTTAAATTTAGCAGCAGTTAGATTGCTAATTTTATAGGCTGTTTAGTAAAGAGTTAAATTTTGGAAGAAAAAAAGCTTTGCTTGAGCTTTTATTCTTTTTATGTTCTTTCAGTTCTCTATACCTGGGATAAACCTTATCTAATTAATATGAAATATCTTTGAAGATAGTAAAGTGTCATGCAGATATACTAGAAATAATGTATTTTTAAAGAATACTTTTATTCTAATGACAGTCTTTGGCACTGTGATAATTAATTCATATAAGCTCAATTTGGTGTTGTCTCAGGGACAGCAAAAATAAAGCACTTTGTCTCATGGTATTCAGTAAAAACACTGATTACATTTGTCAGTATCCAAGTGGAATCCAAATGGAATCTGGCCCCATAGCACCATTTCCTGGTGATGGACACCATGCCAGGGGTTCTGATACAGTTGTTTGAAAGTTTAGATCATAACTAAAATCAAGTTTGGAATTATCTAATTACATTCCCCATAAGCCTAAAAGTAGAAAATTCATAGCTGTAACAGTCATAGAATTAGAGATCCCAGAATTTAGAGCAAGGACTGTGGTTTTTGTCATGTTTACATTGTGTGTGTATGTGTGTGTGTGTGTGTGTATGTGGGCTTCCCTGGTGTGTGTGTGTGTGTGTGTGTACGTGGGCTTCCCTGGTGTGTGTGTGTGTGTGTGTGTGTGTGTGTGTGTGTGTGTACGTGGGCTTCCCCAGGTGTGTGTGTCTGTGTGTGTACGTGGGCTTCCCAGGTGTGTGTGTGTGTGTGTGTGTGTGTGT